GCATGTCCGTTATCTCTGCCGGAGGTCCGGGACGGTAAAAGCCGGCTTTTTTGCTTACGGGGCCGAATACGGGCATGGGGCAACAAAACCCGAGCTTGGCAGGTCGGTCATGTCAGTTGGTTTATCCGGCTGTTTATCTTAGGTAACAGATAAGAGATGGTCGGGTTTTCCTGCCAGTTTCTTTGCTGTTCTCGGACATGTTGAAGACCGAGATGGATGCTTGCGGAATGGCTATTCTCGAAGCCGTACGATGGAAATTCAAGAGTGACCACGAAGCAGAGCAAGATTTAAATTCTGCGTATTTTTTCAATCAACTTTATCTCTCGTTACACGATAAACCACACGCGATAACAAACTGTCGTATCTCCAATTAGCAACTTGGGCAGCCAATCAGGATGAGCCATCCTCGACGCCGTCGTTCACTTCGACTTGGTTGGATCTATTCTCGAGAATCTGATTACCGGGGTTTCGCTACACTTTACTGGCAGGAGGATTGGGATGTTTACATGATACCATTGTTTCTAAAACAGTCCAGAAGCTTGGGGTCTCAGCAAGATGTCCAAGTCCAGCGGACAGAAAAAACTAGAAGCAAACAAGATTATTCGTTCTTTTCTCTTTTCCATCGGAGAAACAACTATCGTATACCACAGTCCCCCAACCTGGACATTGTGGGAATGAGTGACTCAGAATATTACCCAATCGGCCAGTCCGCCCGTTTTCATCATTCATCGTCAAGGACTGGCCCAACGCAGAGACGAGGCCAGCAGAGAACTGACGGCGCAATATGAAGAAAAAAAAGGTTACTTTTCTATCCCTCTGGAGGTGTGGAGCTAATAGGTCTCGGGCTTCACTCGGCCATCAGGGCCTGTTGGTCCCAATCGGCCGTATTGTGACATGGTGTCACTACTAAGCTCTCTCTCTTCCAACAGGAAAGATTCCCTTCGTCTTTCGAGCATAGACTTTATGACTGCAAGCTGACCCTGCAAATTACGCCGAAACTTTTATTACCAGAACATGATTCAATCAAAGCTTGTCTCAGTCACGAAAACCCAACGCACCCTCTCGCCGAGAGCCTCGAAATAGAGGAGTAGACAACGGACTTTGCACCCTTTACTACCCAACCTGGAAAACTAGCACAGTTCTTTAGAAAGATTTCATTGATGGGGGATAGGTTTGAGTACATTTTTGCCATCGCCGAGTATTCTTTCAATCGCTTGTAGACCAGGAGCTGTGCCACGTGCAGCGCCAGCTATAGTGGCCAGCCTCCAGTGAGCAAGAAATCGGAGCGACATGTGCGTCACGGTTCCGCCGTTGAACGTGATGATATTTGTATGACTGGAATCGCAAAGTCTGTCTGCTTTCGGCGCCGACGACTAAAATTTCCCATGATCTGGAGCCTCGAACCCAATGTAGCCTGGATGTTCACGTCGTTCCCATTTGGGTTCTCATGAATACCTGCTCAAGTGGTAGCTACCTGCCTTCCCTAACTCTTACCAGTTGAGCCAGACTGGGTGCTGCGTGTCCGGGAGGAAGTACCTTTTTTGCTGGGAGAGACTTGAGGCCCAGGTACCTCCGTTAGCAACTTAACACATGCAGCCACCAACCTTCAAGCAATTCACACAACAGAAAAGAAAAGAAAAATATCCATGACATGTGAAAGAAAAACAAGATTCTGGTACAGGACACGTTTTCAGTCACCAGTTCCCGTGTATAAAACCTGCAAAAAAGACGGCCTCCCACCCGACCGCTTCTCCCCTCAGAGCGGAATCCTTAGTTTTGCGTCCTTATCGCAATAAGCTCAGACGCATGTTTTCATCACTGGGGCTCTTAGTACCTCTTGAAATTATTTCTCTTTATATACCTTTGTGCGTGTTGAGGCAGGTGGGGGGACATGGTGCCGGTGGTGGTTGTCAAGGTAGTTCCTTCCAAACTCCTCGTTGTGGGAGTCACGGGTCCAGGGGGTCACGGGTTCAGGGGGCTGTCAAGACATCAAGGGAGTATGGCGTCAGTTCATCTCCCTTGCAGAGTAATCCCTAGATGAAGAACAGTGATGATGCAGCCGAATGCTTTCGAAAGGGTCCGGCTTTGCTTGGATCCTTCAGGGCGTCGGCAAATTTCTGAGTTCTGGCCGAGGAATCTGATATCATGTCATCAAGAGCGGAAATCAAGAGCGACTAGCCATTATTTTACCTGGAATGTTCGCTCTGAATGTGAAATCACCCATCCTTTCTGAAACACCATGTCTTGCGGACTTCTTTTGTAAACTTGGTGACGCCTTCCTCAACGAAGCCATTCACCACACGAGCTAGACCACGGTTCTTGACGCATGCTGGCATTGGAAATCCGGTGCCTGGACACCACAGCCTACAGTCCATACAGGCTCCAGATTTTGTAAACGTTCGTGACACATGCGTTGGGTCATCTACCAAGGTATTGGCACTGATCTGAACCCTCTCGCATCTTCAAGGTCATCTGGTTACTGGCCGGTTGGCAGGGCGCCAACCCTCACAATTCTCAAGACAATGACGTCGTTCAAGGCAATAAATCAGTATGCTTATATCTACACGTCTCCTTGCCAAAGTTTTACACATTTCATATCCCCCCCCCTAAAGCTCAAAGCCGAGGTTCACGTGAACAGCCTTGGACTGAGTATACGCATCCAAAGCGTACTGACCCAACTCTCGTCCGATACCCGAAGACTTGTATCCACCAAAAGGAATACCAAAGTGTGAATCACCAGAAGAGTTGATCCAGACCATGCCGGCCTGCAGCTTTCGGGCTACCTTGTGTGCTCGAGATACCTTTTCTGTGAAGAGAGCGGCGGCAAGGCCGTAGGAGGTATCGTTGGCCTTGGCAATTACCTCTTCTTCGGTGGAGAATTTGGCGATGGACACGACGGGACCGAAAATCTCTTCGTTCATGATCTTCATGTCCTCGCTGACCTATTATCATTACTGTCAGTATGGCATTGTGGTTATGCACGAGGTGATCACCTACATCCGCAAAGACAGTGGGCTTCAAGAAGTAACCCTTGTCGCCGTACTTGCTTCCTCCATAGAGAAGCCTGGCTCCGGACTTTCTACCCTCCTCAATATACGAAACAACCTTGTCGTACTGAGCCTTGGAAACCTGGGGTCCCTGAACGGTGGCATCCTCGAATGGGCCTCCGATCTTGTCGTTTTCCTTGGTGACCTCGACAAACTTGGTAAGGAATTCGTCGTAGATATCCTCGTGGACGTAAATTCTTGATGTCGAAGTGCAGACCTATTCCACGTGTCAACGTAATACTCAAGAACCTAATGTAGTTCAGCCTTACCTCGCCCTTGTTGTCCATGATTCCAAAATGGCACCACTTGACAGCCTGGTCAAGCTCTGCATCCGCAAAAACAATCGAGGGGCTCTTGCCTCCACACTCCAAGGTGATGTTCTTGAGGTTGTTCGCAGCGTCCTTCATGATGGCGCGGCCGGTGTTTGTGCTGCCAGTAAAGGCCACCTTATCGATACCCATGTGACCAGCAATAGCCTTGCCAGTCTGAGGTCCAAGACCGGGCAGGACGTTGACAACACCAGCGGGAAGACCAGCCTCAATCACCAACTTTCCAAAGTACAGGGCAGAAAGGGGTGTCTGCTCGGCAGGCTTGAGAACGACAGTGTTGCCGCAGGCCAAGGCGGGGGCAATCTTCCACGCAAGCATCATGAAGGGAAAGTTCCAGGGGATGATCTGTCCGCACACGCCGAGAGGCTCTTGGAGAACGTATGCTAGCTTGGCGGGAGAAGTCTCGATGGTGCGACCACTGATCTTGTCGGCAGCACCGGCATAGTAGCGGAACACGTTGTACGACTCGTCCAAGTCGCCAGCGAGAGCCGCGCTGAAGGGCTGTGATGCTGATGCGTCAGTTGGGCGTGTTTGCACAAAATGTGGAGATACACACCTTGCCGTTATCAAAGGCATCGATGGCGGCGATGAGCTCACGGTCGCGATCAATCAGATCAGCAATCTTGTAGAGAAAGGCGCCTCGATCCACGGCAGCAAGCTCGGACCATTCTCCCTCGAATGCCTTTCGGGCTGCTGAAACGGCCTTGTCGACATCTTCAGTGGAGGCTCCCTTGAGCTTGATGACCTCTTCTTCCGTTCTGCACATGTGAGCGCGTATTCAACGCAAGAATTTGAGGGGCTTACACTGGATTTGTCACCACAAACTCATCACCAGAAGCAGCAACATATTCGTTGTTGATAAAGAGACCGGTCGGTTGGTCATACTTCTTGCCATTAGGCAGAGTGATTTGAGTAGTTGACGCCATGGTGATGATGCGAATTGGGTATCTAGAGTTGAGAGTACCCAAAGTCAAGATCGATTGCGGGGTCCAATTTATATCGGAATGTGATGAGTAGCTGACTCGGAGAATAGATCACGAGACATGAATGCAGTCACGCCCATCGGGCACGAGTTATTTTGCCCGCAAAGACGGCGTAGTACATATGCATGTTCGAGATAGGAAACTTTTGAGGCCATACTGAGGGGTAATCAAGGATGGACTATCTCTCCCATGGTGGGGTCAAATCTTGGCGTTGGCCGTCTTCTTTTATCTTTGAAACTAGACGCAAATAGGCAACTTTTTTGTGCTTTTCAATAGACGCGAAAAAAGATGGCCACATTGACATGACGTTACTTACTACCCCCTTCGGATAAACTGTCCCAAATTGTCGATTATGCGAGGGAGCTTATTTCTCGGCATGGCGGGGTCAAAGCAAGGGGTAGATATCATGGCCATCCTCGGGGATCAATCTGGCACACCCGAGTCTCGATCAGGAATGTTTCATGGCCATCCGTGACACAACGATAATCACTCTGCAATGGCAGTCCTTGGCAGAATTTACAGTCCAGTGATAGGCTTTGTTGATGCTGATGCCAAGATATTGGGGGGAGATCAGGTGTTGCTCTGGGATAGATAAAACGGCAAGACTGTTGACTAGCAGTCTCATCTCATTCTGTTCTCGGATTTCTTGCTCAAAAAAGATTCCAAATAATTTCACCGCAGTTCAACTGTGAGTTTCATCGCTGTGTTTGACCAGCTACACCACTAAAACTCGAGCAGACCTCCCAGCCATCATGTCAACCCTCAACTACTTCAACTACGAAGGCGTCGGCAAGACCAACAACAAGCTCTACTCCTACTCCCAAGCAGTCCGCGTCGGCAACATCATCAAGTGCTCCGGCCAAGGCGGCTGGGACGCAGAGGGCAACATCGACAAAGATGACCTGAAAGGACAAATTGACCTTGCCTTTAAAAACGTCGAAAAGAACCTCAAGGACGCCGGTGCAAAGGGCTGGGCAGACGTTTACTCTGTTAAGAGCTTCCATATTTCTCTTTCTGGATCGTTTGATCTTATGGTGGAGGAGTTTCGCAAGTGGATGCCTGATCATCAGCCGACGTGGACTTGTGTTGGTGTTACTGAGTTGGGTATTCCGGGTATGATTGTCGAGATTGAGGTTGAGGCATACATTTCTTAGACATTGCAAGATCGAGGCAGTTTGTACAGTCAGCTTTTATCAAATTAACACATTGGAATCATATCCTTTCCCAGAAACCTTTGCACACTTGTCCGTTCGGATGCTACACATCTCAAACTTGATGAGCCGGGCTTGGCCACTATAGTCCGTTAGAAAGTAAATCTTCTGACGGATAGACGAGAGCTAAAATATATCTCACCTATAATCGCGGTTTTACTTCTTCCTATGAGACTAAGCCCAGGAACCTCAGTCATTTCCATCCTCAGCATAAAAGAAAGTCGATGGTAGGGCACAACATCCATGTTAAAGCGCTACAGAGATCTACCAAGGTCTAGCTAAGTGGCCAAAGTTTCTATACACCCAATAACATATAAGATCCTCCAAAAACTTCTACCAGCGTAAAAGCGGACTTATATCCAGGCCAATTTCCAGCTTCACATGCCATCAGTCGCTCCGAACCTGCTTCAGCCGCTCTTGCATCTGCTCTCGCGGACTCTTCAGCTTCACCTCCGGAAACCTCGGATCCGCCGTCCAAGGCATCACGTCAGCCCCTTGCAACAACCACTTTAGAGTAGCCTTTTCGAACTTGTCTGCCAACTCCTTGTGATCTAGATCTTCAGCCAGGTTGTGTAGCTCGTGGGGATCGTTCTGTCGGTGATAGAGCTCTGACGGCTCGTATAGCCTGTACACAAACGTCCAGGTCTCGTCTCTCAAGGAAATGGCTTTGCCAACCAGGGTTGTATCTTCATGTTGGAGACCGGCTTTTAAGTCGTATGGGTAGGGCGCCTGCTCGAGTATAGGTTCTTCTGATGTAAGGAAACCACCTTCAGAAAAGGCATATTGCTTGTGTGTTGTGGCATCACCACAAAGCAGAGGAATCCAGGATAATCCGTTGTGGGAGAACGACTCGCCAATCCCCGAAATCTCCAACATGGTTGGGACAAGATCAACCATTTCTGTCATGGCGTTGATCTTCTGTCCCTCTGGCAATCCTGCACCTCCTACAATGAGCGGCTCATGGACCAGAGTCTCTGATAGACCAGAAGGCCACTTTTCGATGAGACCATGGTCACCGAGATATTCTCCATGATCAGTAAAGAACATGGTGACAGTATCCTTCCAAATTCCCAACTCATCCACGCGCTTCATCACGCGGCCAAACTGGTCATCAAGCCGTGAGATCATGCCGTAGTAGGTAGCCTTGATCTCTTTCCAGATCTCATCAGTTGCACGGTGTGTACCGTATCGTTCTCTGATGGACTTCATGTACCGTGGTTCATAGCCCGTCTTCTTGTCCGGTGTGGCTTCAATGCTAGTAATCTTCTCTCGGTCGTACATATAAAAGAAGGGCTCCTCGACTTGAAAAGGGCAATGAGGGAAGATGAGTGGCATGAAAAGAACCCAAGGCTTGTCGGTCGGAGGACAGTCTAACCAAGTCAAAGCTGACCTCACGACAGCCTCATCGTAATCCATAGCCTTATCCGCGTCTCTTAGACCTCGATAAAACAGTCTCCCCCAAATACTCTCATCAATCTCGCGCTCGCCTCCTCCGAACTTGGGCACATACTCTGGTGTCTCCAGGAAGCCATATTCCGTGACGCTGAGCTCTGTGACCGTGGGCGCAAAGGTATCGCCTCGCGGAGCAAGACATGCAACGTGATAACCCGACTCCTTAAGACTCCGGAAAATGTTGGGCTCCCAGGGCTTGATGAGGTTCTCAAGGCTGCGATGGCCGCTGACGTGCGGATACGTCCCCGTGAACATGCTGCATCGTGACTGCGAGCATACCGAGGCTTGTGTGAAGCAGTTGGTAAAGAGACTTCCTCGGGCAGCAAAGGCGTCAATGTTTGGCGTTTTGATGCCAGAGTCAGGACCCGTCGTACAACCAAGGGAGTCATATCTCAGCTGGTCGGGCATGAAGATGATGTAGTTTGGCTTGTCGCCTCCATTCTTAGAGGTGACCTGCAGAGGCAAGGGTTTTGGGGGAATGCTGTGCGAGCCAGGCATCGTGTCTTGAGTCGTCTAGAAAGTCAATGAAGATGATGAGAGCAAACAATGAGGCTCATATTAATCTCGGAAGCTGTCCACAGCACAAAGAACTTGTTTACGGAACCGCCTCTGATTTGTCGGCTTCACCCGAACGCACTCGGATCTCGCCCTCGGGGTCTAGTCGGATCTCGCTATACGCCATCTGACCCCAGACTTGCGTGCTCCGCATTCAGCCAAAGTTTCATAACAAGATCCGCCCCCGCTAGATCCATCCCCTTACATCCTGGAACTCGCTCGGATCTCGCCCTCGCCTGAGATGAACCGCCCAGACTCGTTGAGCCGTTCTCCTGGGTCTTCATTGCCGGCTAAGCAGCCCGCGTGTAGACAGTGTCGAGCGAGAAAGGTTGGTTTGACACCTCCGCATTCTAGTGCCTGTTTCCCCGCTGACGATCAACCAGGTGAAGTGTGACCGTCGAACTTCGGGATGTGTGCGGTGTGAGCGTCTAGACTTGGCTTGCAGCTACCTCTCAAGCGAGACAACCGAGTCGTTGGGTAACGGCCGAGGTCAAGACTTGACGCAGGCCGGGATCAAGAGACGTCGTATTCTCCGGGCTTGCGCCTCTTGTCGGAGCGCAAAGGTCAAGTGTTCCGGGACTCATCCCTGCGACCGATGCCGGTCTCATGCGCAGGCGTGTGTGTTTGGTGATGGAGGCATTCCTCAGTTGGAAGGTGTGGTAGAGGCTATCGCTTCGCCTGTCAGTCCTCCACCGACTGATCATGGGTCGGTACCAAGTCAATTGACTCCGGCTGGCATGTCTAGTGTTACAGGCGATGATTCACTTCGGTGCGTATTGGCTATGTGATGGTGAAGTTGGTGAACACCACTGACACTCGTCAAGCCTCTTTGAAGCCGAGGATAGGGACGCTGTCCGACAATACTTGGATACCTACTTTGACAAATCCGACATTGCCGACTGTATCTTTCTTCATAGGGCAACCACAATTGCCGAATGGAGTCAAGGAAAGCTGGACATGACTCTACTCAAAGCGATTTGCGCAGCAGGGCTCAGACACACGCCAGCTTACCATTCAATGGCATACTCCTGGATGAAACAAGTCCAGGGCAAACTGGCCGGGCACTTGGGCGACATGTCCATACCTAAGCTTCAGGCGTTGATGCTCGCTGTCAAGTTCCTCTCCTCACTGCGTTTCACCGGGGATGTGTGGGTGCTCATCTCAATCGCAGCCAGGGTGGCATTCACCAAACGGCTTAATTATGAGCGCCCAGCTATGGATCCCGTGAAACAAGAATGTCTACGTCGATTAATGTGGTCTATTTATGCCACTGATAAAGTCTTTTCTGGTGGTATAGAAGATTTGACTGTCTGTCCAACACAGAGGATGCATATTCGACTTCCGAGCAGTTATCACAATTTCCAGCTCGGCCTTCAATCTCGATCTTCGTTTCTACGAAGTAAAGGCGAAACCGACACTGGCCTCAATTCTCTGGCCTGCTTGATGCGACTGTACGATATTCGTGATAGAGTTTTGAGGCATGTTCCACACAAACCTCGTCAGCGTATGTGCTAACAGGTCCAAGATACACCAGACGGGTGATTCTGGATGGCTCTAGCCCCTACCACAGCCGAGGCCAGCTACGATCGCTTGACCTAGAGCTTGCGTCTTTTGAAGAGTCGCTACCAGAAGAGCTGCAGCTCAATGATAACAGACTCATGCTCATGTGCCATTCCGATGAGGCACGCGCCTACGCAATGCTACACACCCTCCTCTTCAGCTGTCGCTGCGACCTGCACCGTTTTCTGATCCCCGGCATAAGAGAATGCGTTTCCCCAGAAGCTGCGGCGCAGACACCCAGAGAATACATCGACTACTGCCAGCGCCGATGCCTGCAGAGTGCATTAGGCTCTTGCGACTTGTGGTCCAAGATTCGCCATCTCGAGACGAGCAGTCGCCTTGAGACGCCCACGTTGGCAGTGGTGACTTATCAATCCGTCAAGATCATTGATCACCTCGCTTCTTTGCTTCCGGCTCATGGAGATGACTCGCTACCGGTCGTGAAAGAGAAGTTGACAGATGCTTTATTTATTGTGTCACGGATCCAAACGGGCGTTGACTGGATTGCTTCCTGTGTAAGTCATCACTCCAAATATTGCAGGCAACTTACTAATGATTCAGATATCCGACATCGAGAAGCTTATCCCAAGGTTAGGCGCAAGATCAGGGTCTGCAGAATCACCGCAAGTCCAAGAAACCTCCGTGATTCGCCCCTCTACTGACCTGTTTCACAGTCCGCCAACAGGCAATCTTCGACTTCAGGAGAAGCTTCACCGGAGGTCCAAACACGCTTATGCCCCAGACGACGAAGAGGAGCTCGATCCAGCTGTGAATCCCCCAGAGTCCAACCCAGACGAGCCGCCAGCTGCAGAAGATATGCAATCAGCAACGCCCATTGACCCATTAACCCAAGGAAGCTGGCCTTTTTCTATGCCAGGCGATAACCAGGACATGTTTACATCCAATCAAGGTGGCTCGGGTCAGCCTCTGGATTATAATCTGATGAACTATGACTTGACCAACTCTGCGGATGTGGTCTTTGGGGAACATGACATGGTCTTTCCCATGGATCCTTTCGACCTGCAGCTTAATGCATACACAGATGCAAATGTGCCTCATTACATGGGATCAGAGTAGTAATAAACTATGTATCTACTCAAAGTACCCTCGAAAATACCGTTAACTAAACCCTTTGTTCATCTGGCTACCCGGTGCGACTATATATGGTCTGAGCCTCAGTTATCATGCTTGGACCCCACCACAACAGAGCCCCTCTCGACATCAGAGTCGTGCCTCTTACCGTTTTCATCCTCCAAGACCGATTGCATCATAGCCGCAGCATCCGTCTTGCCAAAGTCACGGATCGGAACTCCTTGGTTAAACAAAAAGTCGACCTGCTCCAGCGTCTTACCCTTGCACTCAGGCACACAGAAGTACACAAAGACGATAGCGACCGCCATGAGTCCGCCAAAGATGAAGCCAACCTTGCTATTAAGGCCAGCATACTGGTCGTAGATGAGGTACGGGATGGTGAAATTGACGGTGAAGCTAGAAGCCCTCGTTAGCATCGATGACCAGAGAAGTGTTATTTGGTGGCTCACTTCATGATGACATTGGTAGTGAATCCAACTCGCGAGGTCAAGTCGCGAAGTCGAAGAGCCGAGATCTCGGTTGTGACGACGTAGCTCAGCGGCGCCCAGCCCATTGAGAATCCGCAGGCAAATAGGGCCATCATGGCCAAGACACCCTTCTTTCTATCGTCGGCAACGGGGCTCTCAATACCCAAACCTCCCATGGTGGTCATTGCTGCAAACATTGTGCAGGAAGACGCAATCATCAGGATCCTTGTTCAGTTAGCAGATGGCCGGTGGTCTGGTGGGGGAAACGTACCGTCTACCAACAATATCCGTCCAGAGGAGAATGCAGGTCAATGTAACAATGTTGATGCCTGCCGTGATCAAGTTGAAGCCGAACGGGTTAATGGTCCCAAGCATCTTGACATACACAGCACCGTACTGTGATACGAAGGCTTGGCCACTGGCTTGCTGCAGAAAGTTGACAGCGATAACTATCGCCGTTCGCTTGAGGTTGTTGCCCTGAAGCAGCTCAACGAAACGACCCTGCTCGATCTCTTGCTCAAGTGAAGTACGAAGCTCCTTGAACTCGGCTTCAATCTGCTCTTCAGTGAATGCTCCTTCTCGGAGCTTGCGGAGATTCTGCCACGCCTCCTCAACGCGGTCCTTGCGGAGAAGCCACCGGGGCGATTCGGGGATGAACCAGATACCCGCCACAACAATGCTAGGGACAATGTAGAACAGACCGAGGGGAATTCTCCATGCGCGGTTATCGGAGAGGAAGCTGGTGCCGTAACAGACGCTGTTGATGACGAGGCCACCAAGCGCGAGACTGAGCTGGTATGAGCCGACCATGAAGCCTCGAGCTTGAGCGGGGACTACGGATGCTGTTAGAAGTATTCTGCGTCTCTGCAAAATCTCACGTACCAATTTCAGACTGGAAGGTTGGAACGACGCCAAGCTCCATGCCGACATAGACATAGTTGAGAATACGAGCCGCCATGATCTGTTCACGGTGGAACGACGTGACCGAAATGGTAGCCGTACCAAGAGCATAAACACTCATGCTAAACATACACCACCTTCGACCCCAGCGAGCCGAAATGAAGCTACCGGCAATGACTCCTAGTACCAAATCAGCACGCGTTTTGTGGGGAAATTGACACTCAAGTCCACTCACCAAAGGCAAAGCCAATGTAATTGAGACTGTTGAACAGCGAGAGCCAGTATGGCTCAAGAGCGTATGCCCCCTTTTTCTCATCCCAATGGCCAAACTGCTTCTCAAACGGGTCCATGGCCTGGGTACTCGCAAAAGCCTGGTTGTCAAAGCCATAGTTGAAGGTCGACACGGCAATGAGCATACAAGCGAGAGCGAGCCTCCTGTTAAAGAGGCGGAACTTGGTAAAGATTCCCATGACTGGTGATGAATGGGAAGAGTGGTGCGAGTTGCTGTGTCTATTGTTGAACTTTACAGATGCCGAGACAAGAGGTTTATATCTTAGATGGTCAACTCGATGTCGTGATGGTCGGGATCATTGAGGAATTGCGGCCCTCCTCAGGCCCGTGATCCAATCCGCCCCTTTGCAAAGTTAGTTACGACGAGTCTATTCCCACCATCCCGGTTAGCATCTGCGCTACCCCGGAATCCATATGATCCACCTCCCGATCTACGAGATCCGAGTACGACATCCGAGAGGGCGAGATCCGACTGGCACCGAGAGATTCACATGACCTCGGAGTCCTTATTCTCGGAAGCTTCATACTCAAACTTGTTTGTCATTTCCTTCGTCTATGGCATCAGTTTTAGATTTGAGCATCCTTAGACCGACACTTCCCCCGAACCGCCCTTTCTTCCAGATCAGCCGTACCACAGTCCTCTCAACTGTCCAATCTGCTCTACGCAAGGGCCTTGCGTACCATTTCAACTCTATCCTCGGTTAGCATTCTGTCCTGTTGCTGATATATAAGATCACCTACACTGCAAAGGTCCCAGCAGAAACAGGCATCGCTCGAAGCAACGTCGGTCCAATCCCCTTGAACAAACCCGCAACACCTCCATTCTTCCACGTCACTCGAAAAGCCTCGCGCATATTCTTATACCTCTTCTCAGCCCCGAACCCGTCGGTCTGCATCTTGCTTTTGATCACGTCCAACGGATACGTCACTAGCCAGATGAGTTCTCCAGCAATACCGCCACAGAGTGCAAATTTCCAGCTTGGAATCTTGCTTCGAGGCCTTTGATCTAGCTCCATAACCTTTTGGACGAGGCCTTCGTACGATGCGAACCAGATTCCGAAGCCGTGAAATTCGCGGAGAATGGTGACTACTTGGCCTCGGTAGATGCCGCCAATACCTGAATGACTCCATATCTTTCGAACACAATCGGTAGGCCCTGCGTAGAGACGGTTGTCGCCGTGAGGCTGCGTCTGGAGGCGAGTCCTGACATGCTCAATCGGACCGGATAGTACGCTGTTGCTAAGACCTGCAGCACCTCCTGCCAAGTAGAATTGCCCGAGGGACAATGTTCCATCATCGTTACTTTGTAGATTCCTGTTTCGTTCTTCCAGTAGCTCTCGGAAGAAGTAAAATGCGCCAAACTGGATGCTGGCCTGTCTTCTTGGTCAGCAAGCGCTCTTGAGAGAATCTTGTTCACTTACGCAAGCGCCGACTCCGAGTAACGGGGGTATGGTGCCCTAGAAGGCAGTTAAGACGAGCTGTCTGTAGAGTCCCAAAGAAAAGAAGGCTTGACTTGTAAAAAGCCAAGGGCCCCTCCCGGCGCCAGATGTTTCCGGCAACAGTAAAGGCACTCCTGCCACTGGCTTGAAGTCGAACCTTGATAATGTCTGGTGTTTCCAATGTCAGCATCTTTAAAGAAACTTCAGTCAAGGATCTGGGGCCATACCAAACAGCTGTCCTATTCTGAGTAAGTCAGTGCAAAGAGATAGGCTTTCAGCCAGGTTAAGCCTTAGACTTACCAATCATGACCTGAGCGACACCCCCCATAGTCCCGGCGGCGATATTCTTGGCCGTATCGGAGTTCATGGCTTCTACAAAACGCTCCTGAAGAGACAAGTGGCCAGGGTCAAAGACAGAAGTCAACTACCCCCTCACTCACGATGATAAGCCAGTTGAGTGTTTTTTACACAAAGAGCCGCATCGTCCGGTGGAGCAAAGCCGATGGAAGGGCGTCGGGGAGAAACCGTCCAAGTTGTGGCGTCTTTGGCTGGTTCTCGGGGTATGGCCGAGGTGCGGCTAGATACCCGGCCTACGTGGAGTCTGATACGGTTACAGACTGATCTCCTTTAGGAAAAGAACACTTACCTTTGACCGAGAAGTTGCCATGTGTAGTTTATGTATTATAGGATGGCATTTAGCATACAGCCCAACAATCTCTAGAACCTAACGCCCTAAGCAAGGTAGACCGTCTCGATGGGTAGATTCTCGTCATCGGCAACTTCACCATCCATAACCCCATGTACATAGCAGATCCCCAAGACCGAATTCAACGGCTTTTCTCCTTCTCCATCGGCGACTTCTCGGGTCTTTCCCGTTGGCCTTAGCACAAAAGGCATCCAACTACCAAATAGGCACCACACTTCGTCTCCGACCTGCGTCTCGGCAGGTCCCAGTCCCAAGTACCCAGACTCAGTCGCAAACATGGCCGTGTTCAAAGTTATGCCTCCAATCAACTGCTCCGTGACGAAGGTTTCCGATGTGTGCTCCTGCGTTCCAGCATATTGGCCAATGTCAAACCTTGGATCAAAGCGCACAGCTGCCTCTCGGTCCTCTGGAGAAAGACCCTCCGGATGGAATACCGAGTAAGGCGATACTGGAGCAAATGCCATAAAAGCCTCGTAGCTATCTGTAGTTTCCTTTGATCTCCTAAAATGAGCTTTTTCAGCTGGTCCGTCCACCGAAAGGACAAGATCCCAGCAAAGACACTTCCAGAAAGCATCGAGAAAAGGCTCGCCGGTTTTGTGTAGTCTCGAAGGGTTGCTGTCAAGATCAAAGAGTTTGAACCACTGGCAGTATACGCTTCACTTATCTTTTGGTAATCCGTGTTTGCATATCGGTCCAACGCGGGCAACTCGATCGCATCGACGGCCTTTGACTTCGAGTATTCGGTTGTTATCCCGAGGCACGACGTGAGATGGTTGCTTATGTGACACATAAAACTGAAGATAATGTTCTTGAGTCCATTGGTATACATTTAGTCGAAGTGAAACGTTACTGCCAGCGGTCCAGTCAACAACCCACGAAGGAACATCTTGGTAAACATCCTTTTGCAGCGGAAAATGCAGAGGCGATAGACTGTTTGTTGCGAGTACCTCGTCAAGGGTTGCCAGTGTGTAGATTTCCTCAGTCTTGGCCCTGTAGTTTGGCATGATGGGCTCTCTCATCCACGAATTAACGAGACCGAGCACACCAAAGACACGATCACGATCGTCGGTAGCGAAACGGGACCGAGTAAAGCTCAAGGCCGTCCACAGAGAAATCTCGGGTCCTTCCCTTCGATCGTTTCTGAGCTGGTCAATGGGCCTCATGGCGAGGCCTAGCTTGCGAAGATGGGGCATGAGTTCTGGGTTTGTCTGCGCACTCGTTGTACTGCAGCAGTCTGCCAACATGTGACGACTCAAAGCAGAAAATGCTTGAAGCATGAATTTCAGTTCGATCGAGACAGGACCGTATATAAATGTTGCTCTTTGAGGAAGAACGCATTCTTGAACCGTCTCTATCATGTTAGAACTCGCCTGTCGTTCATATATACAACTCACCCAGATCCTCGTCCACCAAGGACTATCCGCAAACGGAGCCAAAGCCTGCGCCATCATAGAGCAGTAAGATTGATAGTCTGGCGGATACGCAAAGTTGGCTCCCGTCAAGTCTGTGAATAACGGCTGTTCAAAGAGATGTGAATCTTGAATAAGCCTAAGATTGGCAAAGGCATGGAAGACAATGTCGACAGAAGCCGGGTCAGCTGGCTGCTCTAATGTTGAGTAATAGACAAATTCGTTCCCCAGCCATATCAGTGACGGATGATCCCTCTCATCACCGAACCAATGCGCCGGCCACGTCTCGAATGGAGGTTCATCTATCCAGATGACGGTGTTGTCGCAAATGGAATAGATTTTTCCCATCAGACTGACCTGCTGACCACGCTCATCCACATCAGTCTGATTAATGCACAGCGCATCAACCCACAGGATACGTATCTTTTCAGGTTGACGAAGACGATAGAGTGCCGAGTAGAGGTTAAAGGTGACGTTAACTAAGTAGCCATTCACGATGACCTCCCGGGTAACTTTGGGATCACCCCATGTGTAGCTGAGCGCCTCATACTTTGGAGGCGGATCAGAAGTCAGAGAAATGCGATGGATAGTGCAAGAGATAAGAGTAGAGCCCCATCCAGGCTCGAGATGCAGTATGCGAATCTGCTCTTGCACAACGTCTAGCGAGGCGACGTCCTTGGAGACCAAGGCAGCCCCAGCCAAAGACCCGATATCAATCTTTTTCGCTGAAGTCATGGTCGATTTCACCGTCTGCGCGATCGTGCGGGATTTAACCGGTGAATCAAGTGAAGTCATACGAAACCCTGTCCTGGCCGAGACCGCGGCCAATTATCACGTTGCGTTCTTTTTTCAGGATTGCAGTCCTTGCTAGTTTCTTGATCTTGGCGGTATGTTTGACTTATTTATTGACCCGCATTATTCTCTTTATCGGCCATAATCTGCCCTTCGTAACCGCTTCGATAACAATATTCAATCCAGCACATCTGTAGATGATGAACATGTTGAGCATTTCGCTACTGAATTTGGCAATCTAGATTCGTGTCAAAAACGTCGATAACGGATAACGAAGCATCCAGACCAACTTTACCAGGGCGCAACGGTCGAGGCCACTAAAGATCCCGCCCCCCTTTCGAACTCTCCACCCCTTCAGCATTCCAACAGATTACACCATTTCTCCTGCTCAGCCACTACAAAGACTTTGTCCCGTCTCCAAACCCATGGGATTCTGGAATGCTGTTCTCAGGAACAAAGCCCCTTGCAGATTGTCTCTTGCTGCGACGCGTGGCGTTGCTTTCTTCCAGGCACCTGTTCAGAATCCGGTGTCGCAAACGGCCACTATTGAATTCTAGTCTTTGGATCGAGACCAATGATGCTTAAAATAAATGCTCGAGCTTGGCATTTACCTGTTCCCCGGGTATGTCCACTGATCAGTTTCTGAGACAAACCAAGTGTCCATCGCCATTCTGTGTCATTTTCAGCCTCTGCCGACATTGTCGCCAACCTCTGTCTTACATCCTGCCATCACCATCAATGACCGACATGTCATCGCATTTGCGTTCCCATGATCGATTTTCAATTGTCCTTGCGTCTCCTTTCAGTTCATCATGTGGCTGGAATGAGAAATCAAAGTCTCTTCTTCACTTACTAACGAGGCCTCTGAACCCTCCCCACAACGGACACGTTCTAGCCCGCAACACATTCAGAGCCTCAACGTGGCTAAGGAACCCACAGGTTTCGTTAGTTCCGTCACAAGTTGCTCACTTGACACGCGAGGATGAGACGGTTCCAAGACTATAAAGAGTGATTGGGAGACTCCCCAACCATGGACTTCTTCTCACACATCCTCACGACTCAAGCCAACTACAAACTGAACACACATCCTTCAGAACTTTCTCGCACATACAGAAGTACACTCACCTTTACGACAACATGAAAGCTTTCAACGCTTTCGCCGCCATCCTGGGACTAGCTGGTCTAGCCCAAGCCCACATGGAGATGACATATCCTGCTCCTTTCAAGAGCAAGTACAACCCCAATGCAGGATGGGACATTGATTACAGCATGACTTCTCCCCTCGCTGGCGACGGGAGCAACTTTCCCTGCAAAGGTTACCAGACCCTCCTCGGCACCGCGGCTGGTGCACCTACTGTGACCTGGCAGGCCGGGCAGCAGTACAACATGACCATCGCTGGCGGTGCAGATCACGGTGGTGGCAGTTGCCAGGCTTCACTCTCTTTTGACAAGGGCAAGACTTGGACTGTCATCCAGTCTTACATCGGAAACTGCCCCGTTTCACCTTCGGCATCCTTCAAATTCACCCTACCTGTCGATACACCCGCTGGAGTCGCCCTCTTTGCTTGGTCCTGGTTCAACAAGATCGGAAACCGCGAAATGTACATGAACTGCGCCGCCATCACCGTCAAGGCAGGAAAGGGCACGCCCTCGACACCAATGAGCAAGCGACCTGCCATGTTTGTCGCCAATGTTGGAAACGGCTGCGGAACCACCGAGATGACGGACTTGATGTTCCCCAACCCCGGACCTGATGTCTCTCTAACCTCCTCCAACACGAAGGCGCCTGTCGGTCAGTGTCCAGCTGGTTCTGGAGCTGTGATTCCTACCACTACCAAGCCAGCTGTTGTTCCGACTACGACCAAGACTACAACGACGAAGCCGTCCTCTACAAAGGCTCCTGTGAAAACAACCACGAAGTGAGTTGATTCCGCAAATTTCTATTCTCAACTACCTACGCTAACATGAGTAACTGCAGACCTGGTGGCATCTTTGTCACTGTTCCGGTGTCAACAACCCTCAAGTCGACAACTCGCAAGACGACGACAACTCCACCAGTACCTACCGGTGGTGTCACTGGCTCCATCACCCCCGGCACAGCTTGCAAGCCAGAAGGATATTGGAACTGCCACAAGGGAGGTACATCCTTCCAGCGATGCGCTTCTGGTACCTGGTCGGTTGTCATGGCTGTTGCGCCGGGCACCAAGTGCATACCCGGCCAGAGCATGGAGTTTACTATTACGTGGGCATGATGATTACGACATGAGAGATGGGATGTATTGTTGATGATGAGAGATTGGGATACACCCAATACGCGGTTATGAATTTTGATGATTGTCCTAGGTATATAAAATACTAATGCTGTTTCCAAACCATTCCCACCACAATCTCACTGTGACGAAGAACTTTACGTATAACCCTCCAAGACGTAAGAGCAGCTCTTATCCAGTATAGTGCAGTCTATGTGTAATGTTGTCCAAAGAGACCATTTTAGAGCCAGCCCCAGGTGTTTGGGATTTAGCTTCGCAGTAAGCACCGCTAATACTGGTGGTGACCCAGATGCCATTGAGCGATGAGAAGATGACACTCTCTCCCACTTTGGGGTACTGCGTGGATCAGTTTTCTGGTTTCTTTCAGGATCGCCTTTTTTTACTTCCGCGGGGTTATGATAGACTGTCCCTGAGTTCATTTCAATGTAGGTTAACGGTTGTAGGAGGTGTTATGATGAATGTCGAAGAGGATGATAGAGTTACTTTGAAAGAACCAGGAGGGATAAGCACAGCATTAAATAGACTTGAATTTCGACAGAGCCGCACTTACCAGCATGCAACAATGAGGCTCTACTCAAGATAAAAACTCTTGGTGAGGAGTACAGGGTGGGGATTCATGTCGCCGGCAGTATAGGTACAGCCTCACTACATGTCTAGTCTTTGGGCTAATGAGGCAGGCTGTGAGGCTCGAAATGTTAGTCGTTGTTCAAGTGGCAATGAACTCATGAGACGAGGCTTTGACGCGCTCAGCTGACAAGAAGATGAGGTATCAAAAGTGCAGCTCGAATCCCTTTCAATTCTAGAATCTTCAATATCAGAGGTTGAAGTACGAAGCCGTCGTACCCTATACGGTTCCATATCGGGTTCAGTAGCGCTCCTTGTATTTAGAGAGAGTCATCTAAAATGAGCAGGTATATAACGTAGCTAGTTGTAAAGAGTCAAGAAGTTGAAAAGTCAAGGTAAATCTTGCAGCTCAAGAGAGAAAGCTCTGATATTTGAGACTTGCTTGATAAAACATTTGCCCCTTAGATTCCACTGGAATGCACCAACTCATGGTCCTATCAGCTCCAAGTCAAACTTTCACCCACCTTGAATCATGAAGCAAACCAATTGGTTTATCCTAGCTCTGATATTGAACATGAGTGAAGGCGGTTTCCGCTATATCAGTGATGGGGCGACGGGCATTTGCTCAGGTTCAACGGGAGGGACTACGCCTACCATCACGACTTTATTTTCAACCACGTTCCTTAAAAATACATTGTACTTCAGTACTATCTTGCTACCAGCTGGCTTGATACAGCTCAAAGTATACCTCGTCAGCTCGGGCTGAGCTAATAGCCTTTCAATCCATATATCATAAAGACAATCCCGGCTTCGCGGCCGATACTTCTCGGGACCCGTCCCGTCTCCAACGTCTCGCCAACTATTGCCATTCTAGACACTGCAGATTAACAATCACCGCTTGCAGCGTCTCGGCTATAATCCGAGCTGCTCGGAATACCTCCGTCAACTAGCCAAACTCCAGCTCTATATCACAGAAGCCAGTGACGTTCCACGCAACCACCCTGCTTCTTTAGCTATACACTCTATACTCGAGTTTTTTTTTGCGTCACCATGAGAATCTCCAAGTCTAGCAATATTGCTATCGTTGGCGGCGGCGCCTTTGGTCTCTCTACCGCGCTTCATTTGACTGAAGCAGGCTACTCTAATATCTCAATCTTTGAGCAGGATGACCAGATTCCTCCTCGCTACTCTGCGGCCAATGACCTCAACAAGATTGTCAGGGCCGAGTATGAAGATCCTTTTTGGACCGAGCTCACCATTGTAAGTGTTACCCACCGTTTTCCCTATCAAGCAAATATTAATCCACTTGTTACCCAGCAAGCAATCTCCGCTTGGAAGACGCCCTTCTATGCCCCCTTCTTCCATCAAACTGGATTCATCCACTGCGTCTCAGGCAACGCACCCGAGGAAGCTACAGCGACTTTGAGCCGCTTCCGGGCAGCAGCCGACGCCCATCCTCAGCTCAAAGATCACGTACTTCCATTCCACGGAGACGACGACATCCAGAAGCGTTTCTGGCAGTACACTGGTTCGTTTCCAGGATGGAGTGGATACTTTAACAGTTTCGATGGCTATGCACACTCTGGAGCTGCCTTGACGGCTGCGTACCGAGAGGCGCAAGCTCGCGGGGTGAGGTTCTTCCTCGGTCCCCAAGGCGCAGTCTCCGAGATTGTGTATGAGAAGACTCCAAATGGAAGAAGAGCAACTGGCATCAAGACTAGTACCGATATTTTCCACGCAGCAGACTTGGTCATCGTGGCCGTCGGTGCTGCCGCCACTAAGCTAGTACCCGAGATCGGAACCCAAGTCGTCGCCAAATGTTGGTCTGTCGCCCACGTCCACCTATCCGACGAAGAAGTTTCTGCTCTTCGAGGTATCCCCATTACATATGCCAGGGACCTCGGTTTTTACTTTGAGCCGGACCCCAAGACAAATCTCCTCAAGATATGCCCCATGGGTGGTGGTTACATCAACACGGACCCAAAGACTGGCTTTTCTCATGCCCCCAAGTCACTTCAAGACAGCGCCTTTGTCCCTGCGCATGACGAAGCCAAGATGAGAAAGCTTCTCGCCGAGACTCTCCCATATTTGGCAGATCGACCTCTGGTCAAAAAGTCTCTATGCTGGTTTGCCGATACGCTGAACTCGGACTTCATCATCGATTTTGTACCTCAAACCTCAGAATCACTGGTCTTGCTCACGGGTGACTCTGGCCACGGATTCAAGTTCTTCCCCATCTTTGGGTCTTGGGTCAAGAAACTTCTCGAGGAGGGTGATCAATCCATCGTTAGATGGAAGTGGAAGGATCCCAAGGCCAGCCAGGATGATGCCAACTGGGGGGGAAGCGTCAGCTGGCGGCTGGGAGAGACACTGGAGTTGTCGGACATCCAACCTCCTTCAGCCACCAAGCTGTAATAGCCGACCGTGTTTTTTCAAGATGAGGGCATATAAATCGCGCACAGCAGGTAGTCTAAATACATAATAATCGTCTCGCTTCAGGGCTTGGTTGGTTGTCACATAAACCAGTTAGGTGCTCTATCACTCGAGTCGTGTAACTGGAGATGCATTCAAGGAGCCATTGCTGAACCAGGACTTATAAATAGAACGGAAGGTCTGGATGCAGCTCGGTAACTACTGAATTCATGAGCCGTTGACAACAGGCCAGAAAGTCGTGAGCCGTCGACCATGAAGAAGTTGATGAGAGCAGCAAAAAGAGGGCTCAGCAGCAAAAGAAAACATCCTCCGGTACAGGGAATCGAACCCTGGGCTCCGCGGTACTTGATCTCTCAGGTTATGAGAGCGCGAAATGTTAGCCACTACACCATACCGGACGTTATTGGCTATGATCTGGCTTTGATACTGAGCACTATTACCATGGCAGCGCCCTTCAATCGGCGAAATCAGTGTCATGAATGCCTCCAGATACTTGTGGTAGGACCCGGCTATCATCCGCCTCAGTGTCTTGGAAGGCGGTGGCGTTTGACACACCCTTTCTGATAGATTTGCTTTTGCCAACGCCGGCTCCAGGCTAGACTTGGTACAAGAACCGCCAACGGATACCGCCCGGGGAGGAGTCGTTGTGTGTGTGTTGGCTAGGCGCCATCGGCAAACTGCCGGGCCTTTGGTCGACTAACTCTCGGCACTCTTCTGCCCATGCATCCGCCCGTCAGTGGTACTTCATGTCGATTAGAGATAAATAGCTGTCATGGATTCAAGCTGTTGGAAGGATGCAACAGCCATTGTGTGTCCCGGGCTGATCGATCATCCTTCACAATGCCTATCACCAGAGCTCTCGGAATGAGTGCAGGCCGAGGAGGCCGGGCACTCCCTCGCGGACTACGTGTTGCCCCTTTCAGCACTTCAGTCTGGAGAAGACCCGATGCCACAGTGCAGTTCAGACTTCCTAACCCCAGGAATGAGCCCAACGTGAGTGACTAAGGTAGCTACATTTCCTGGCAACAACATTGACTGACATCGGGAACAGACAGAATACAGGAAAGGCTCCCCTGAGCGCAAGAAGCTTGAAGAGGCCTTATCAAAGCTCCGCTCGCGACTCCCCGTCCGATCCGACGTCTTCTACAATGGCACCATCCAGACCACGTCCAAGTCTCTCGACCAAGTCATGCCCTCCGAGCATGGAACCGTCTTCACAAACTATCCCATGGCATCCCGCCAACAGACCTCAGAGGCCATTGAGGCAGCACTCAAGGCTAAGAGGAGTTGGGAGGAGACGCCCTTTGTCGATCGAGCTGCTATTTTCCAGAAGGCGGCCGAACTGGCCACGACTGAATACCGTTATGAGTTGATCGCTGCGACTATGTTGGGGCAAGGAAAGAATATTTGGCAGGGAGAAAATGATGCTGCTGCGGAATTGGCAGACTTCTTCCGGCTGAATTGCAACTATGCTGCCGAATTGCTTGAGAAGCAACCGACTCGAGGTACCAACGGCATGTGGAGGTATGCTACGAAGCTATAGATCTTCGTATTGTCCCTTACTAGCTTTTATCACAGCCGAATGGACTGGCGACCCATCGAGGACTTCGTCTACGCCGTATCCCCCTTCAACTTCACAGCCATCGGCGGCAACCTCATCTCAGGCCCAGCCCTGATGGGCAACGTTGTCATCTGGAAGCCCTCCCAATACAACGTCTACGCCAGCGCCATCATGTACAAGATCCTCCTTGAAGCAGGCCTCCCACCAAACGTTATCCAATTCCTCCCCGGCGATGCAGAAGAAATCACAGACGTGGTTTTGAAACACAAGGACTTTGGAGGCATTAACTTTGTCGGTTCGTCAAAGGTCTTTCGATCGATCTATGGCAAGATTGGACAAGGTATTGCGGAGGAAAGATACAAGGACTTTCCTCGTGTTGTTGGAGAAACCAGTGGAAAGAACTTTCATCTCATCCATCCCTCGGCAGACATTGAAAGTGCCGTGAACCACACTGTTCGTGGCGCCTTTGAGTATCAGGGTCAAAAGTGCTCTGCTACTTCTCGTGTTTATCTCCCAGAGTCACGAGCGGAAGAATTCGTAAAGGGTATTAAATCCAAGGTCGAACAGATCACCATCGGAAGCCCAGATAAGCAACTCGAAGCCTTCATGGGGCCTGTCATACACAAGCACTCCTTCAGCAAGATCAAAGGTATCATCAACTCGGCCAACAGAGACCCATCAAACTGCTAGCGGGCGGTACCTATGATGATTCAGTCGGTTATTTCGTGAAGCCAACTGTATATCAGGTCGACTCTCCAGACCACAGACTATTCAACGAGGAAATCTTTGGACCCGTGTTTGCAGTTTATGTCTATCCTGATTCTCAATGGAGCTCCATTCTGAAGCGGGTTGATGAGGCTGGAGGTGGTCTCGCCTTAACCGGGGCCATCTTTGCCAAGAGTCGAGCCGCTATTCGTGAGGCAGAAGATGCGTTGCGTTACTCTGCCGGTAACTTTTACATCAGTAAGTTCCCCCTCATCAGTTCTGCCAGGTATGTTTTTACGTATTGCTAACATCTGCCGTTAATCACAGACTGCAAGACAACTGCTGCCCTCATTGGCCAGCAATCCTTCGGTGGTGGCCGTTCCTCAGGCACAAACGGTAAGGCCGGTAGCTCTGATCCACTGCGACGATTTGCGAGCCCCAGGATGATCAAGGAGGAGTTCTTCCCCCAGAAGATATTCTTGTATCCCAGCAACGAGTCATAGATTCAATGACAACGAAAGTGTGGGAACATAGTAGGTTTGCGAAGAATTTCTAGATAGACCTCAAAAGCCAAGTCAGATGCTGCAACAATTTCAGTACGCTTTCATATTTGTGCCTGTGAATAGTTATCCGGTATATTGACGATATGAAAGAACATGTCGCCCAGTGAAAGTTCAAACAGGTTCATAACATCAATGCAGGCATGTCTTGTGAAATGTGTGGCGATTCATCGTGACTCCTTCAAACGACGGTTACCTTGTGTCGCTATGTTCTTCAGTAACGTATCCAGTATTGAACAGACGGCATAAAAGCCCTATATTGCAAATATGCGAGGGCCTTTCTCATCACACATTCAAGGTTTAATCCATATGGAAGAGGCAAGAAAAAGAAATGGGAGACAGGTAGCAAAACTTTATTGCCAACTATCTACTTGCGATTTCAAACGTGAGAGCGCTCTTCAACCTCCTCCAAACCTCTTTCCTCACGGCAAAATATTCCGCCTTTGTCCTCGGGACAGCATCCCTATTCTCCACAGCCCTTCTGAGGAGGTACGAGATACAATCGCCCAATGTTCCCCAGCTCAGGCATTTATACACCTCCGGGGATGTATTTCCCGCCTTCCCACCGAGCTGCAGCAACGTGCAGCTTACCTCGTCAGCCATACCAAGCAGCTGTCCATATTGAACTTTGATCAGCGGCAAACCTTCCTCAGATCGCTTTTGCTGCACTTGATATGCGTTGAGCGCGCTCTGCTTGTTGTGGGTTGCCAGAAACAAGTTGAGTCGAGGGAAACCAGCTGATGAACCATGCTCCAGATCTTGATATCTTCCCTCCAGTAAGCCTTGAGTGATGGAATCATACGAATCATCTGTCTCCTGCTTCGTATCCTTGATGAGATGCCGCGGTTCCGTGCCCATGTACGCCCCCCTCACAAGCTTGACGCCAATAGTAAACCCCTGATCCTTGGCGAAATGCAAGTGACGCAGGAGTGTGGAGGGTGTCGACTTGAGATAGGCTTGATAGGTGTTGTAGACTGTTGCATGCTCTCGGTTGTATGTGCGCATGAGACTCAGTGCAACGTCGTCGATGCCAGGCTGTACAAACTGCTGTTCGGCGTCGACTAGGATACTTGCCTTGCGTTTGATGGCCTGATCACAAACAGCATCAAGGGCATCTTGCATCTGGGTTGAAAGAGGTTTTCTGGCTGCCAATGCCTCAGTGACTTTAGCCCCAGCGCCTGTGAACCTAAGAGGTCGTTGGTTGAGCTTGAGAACATGATAGGTTTTACGTACTTGAGAGCCAGAAAGTCACCCTCTCCAAGCATCGAAGCAGTCTCCAGAACTCCATCTCTCCACGCCTGAATGCCTTCATCAAATGGAACTTCTTTCTCAAGCTCAGCCACATCCTTCTCCTTGTACTCCAGAGCTCCCACACCAACCTCTTGCTCCGTCGAAGAGTCAACCACAACTTCACGGGCATAAGTCAGGATAACTCCTCGAAACCCCATATCCTTGATGTTTTTTTTCGTTGTCTTGACTTCTTCCACATTCTCCCCGGCGCAGAAATGCCTGTAGAGGGTTGACTTGAAGATTGCATGTAGCAGTGGGTTCTTTTCGACGCTAAACAGGGCGGGACGAGGTTTGGAAAAGAAGGATAGAACAGCAAGTGACGGTGTTAAAAGGGCACGATGGCTCGAGACAGTGGCAATGAGTAACGATCTAAGGAGCATTCCCGTCGGTAAGAGAGAGTGAGGAGGTGGCGGTGATGTTGCCGAGACTGAGGTTTTGTTGGTAACATGGCGCCTCTGAGAGTTCACTGTTGACCTCAGTGAAGCAATCGATTGGTTTGAGGTAAAAGACAATAGAGACGCACGGTGTTGTAAGGAAGCCATGGTGAAACCCAGCGTCATCACCACCACAATGTCAATTGTCTCCCACGAACTGCATCAAGGTTGTGAATGAACCCAGCATTGACAAGCACCCCTCTCTAACGCGGGGAAACCCTGCCCATGTCACGATTATCGTTCGGCGAAGCCCCGAGTTAGAGCCTTCGGTTGCTTGCCGACAGAAATAAGGGCGAGGTGCGGATAAGGGGCCGAGATACCAAGGACGCCCTTTCAGCGACAAAACTGCATGTCGTCCCCGTTCCCGTGATCCATTCATACAGATTCTAGAAGCCATCCGGACCGGGTGGGCCAGTGAGCTGAGCTCACGAGTCAGGGTGCAGTTCATGGACCAACTACCCGACGGTAGTCCAGCCATCCGCGGCCGCTTGCCGATCGGCAACCTGACCAGCCGTGACCAACTATCCGGTGTCGTTATCAGTAGACTCGGCTAACCCCCAGAACTCGAAGCTCGTCAAGACGTGAAACTTGATGGAGAATACGGTCTTGTGCACTCAGAGAACTAGTAGAGAATAGCACTGAATAAGCCAAGGTCAAGCCTCACATAGAATCATATTGTACCTATATCATTAACATCGTAAATCTTCCAGCCGCGGAGCGCTTTTACCCCAAACAAATAACATCATCCCAACGCCACGTCTAGATATTCCTCATGTGAAACATCTTGCCAACCTCTGCCCAATCCACATCATCCACGCCCGTCAGCGGAAGCGTCGGATCGTTGAAACTAGAGTAAATGTCACCAGCCTCATGACTCAAATCCATCTGAAAGTTCTCAGACGCGCTAAAGTCAAGATGCACCGCATCCTCTCCGCCCGTCGCCGTAGACTGCCACGATATCCACGCGGCCGGTCCCCAGGTCGTCATAGCGTCCGTCTGCAAACTTGGGTTACCACCGCCCTCTCCGGAAAAGTTATGGCGGTTCGCTGGGGAGTTATCGAGGCTGGATACACTTCCTTCATTGAGCCAGGACCAGTCGTCTGTCATGTTGGTTGGTGACCAAACGTGAAGGCAGAACTGCTTCAGATCGTTTAAGCGTCGCTGAGCTGCTGTGTTTCCAGCGTTGGACAAGTACTTGAGAACCTCTGCCGCTTGTTTGAGACCTTCTGGTGGTTCTTGGAGGTCTCCCTCGACGAAGCCCATCATGGTCAGCACAAACGCCGCTGAAAAGGTAGCATCAAGATCGAAGTAGCCAAACAATGCTAAGATATGTTAACAATGGATTATGTACGACATGTGTTGAATTTGAACCCACCAATGCTTTTGTCCTCGCGTAGGGCAGAAAGTATCCGGATCGTCTTAATGGCGGCCTCTTGACAGGTCTGGCACAGCCGACTTATGGCTGGAGATACAGGTGCTCGTGGACTGTTGTCTTTTGATGCCTGCACTTTTTCCTTGACCCGCTGTAGTAGTATTGGTCTGATGCACAAGATAATAGCCTAGAAGTACGAATTAGACGACGATCAGGGTCGAGGCTGTCGTGTTAAGCAGGCATACCAGGAATAGCATCAGGTACAAAGATGCGCTTGTTCTCGCAATTGTTGATGAAGAATCAGTAAAGTCTATAGATAGGGCACTCGGTATTGAGCGCCCTATGTCATGTAAAGTCTGTAGCGTCTCTTGTATCTTCTTGACGAGCTCGGTGCGCGTGAGAGCAGCGTTGCCGTAGAAAGCTGTGCCCGTGTCAGTCAGACGTTCTAGTTGATCGTGATATAAGATCTTACACGTGGTGATTTTCCCCGTCACTTGCGCTATCTTGATATTGATGGTCATGGGCAAAGGGTTTTGGAAGCCGGCAGCCGGGCGAGGCATCTCTGACCGGAGTTGACGGTCATCGGTACCTGTTGGAAGACCAAGGCCAGCTGAAAGGCGGCTTGAAGGATAGCACACGTTAGCAAAGGTCAAATTTCTTCAAGCTGATATGCTTACCGGTCTAGCATGTATGCTGTCCACCATACTCTTACGCGGTGAGTGATTTCTGAAGAGAGGCCTTGTTGCTCGTCGTGTGGCAGAGAACAACCCAAGGCAATGGCAAGACGGACCGCACTGCCGATCTGATACCACACGTCAGTTCTGAGGGCAACAAAACGCGTTTCCCAGGTTCTTACATATAGATATGCATCATATTTCCGGTCACACCACTGTAAATAAAGACTAGCCAAGCACAAGATCTCAACAGACAGAATCCCATGAGAGCCCAACTTGTGCATCGGCGGAAGTCGATGAATCGCCTCAGCAAAGAACGAGTTCCCAGGAGGGTTTGCTGATCCTTCACTGGGCGAACCTATGAGCATTCCCATAGCCATGACCAAGAGGTACTCAGTGTACCACATTGTCTGCATCTGTCGTATGCGTGAGGTTTCATTCTGATAGAGCAAATCCATGGAATCTGAAAATGTCCTCGGGTCGAGAAAGTGTTGATTGATGCCCATTAAGGAGGAGAATCTCTCAAACAGTCGACGAGATTCTTGCTTGGACAACAGAGTTGGTGAGGGAATGCCGTCGACCAGTGTGAGCGCATTTCTCCAATGGTCATGAGGCTCTTCTTCGAGGGCTGAAGAGACGAATGCAGAGCTTTCGGGTGATGTTTGGAGGTTTAGGCTGTTGTTGTCGACGTGATCACGCAATATTGACCGCACCCTTGACTCAAAGGCTGGTCCAGATGCGAGCTCCGTAGCTACTCCGGTCAGAGAGAGATACTGCAATACCGATCAGGACGTTCATACCTGGACTCAAGGGCAGCTCATCCAACTGATTCTGCTCAGAGCCTGCATCAGAAACAATATCGCCATTGCCGGGGCTCAGCTCAGAACTTGGGTCTGCAGTAGATCTCGCTATAACCGATAAGCATGAAACCGCGTTCTTCAACAGAAAAACTCACATCCCGCTCGTTCCTTGAGCTGCTCCTCTTGGCTCTTTATCTTATCAAGAAGCTTCTGCACGTACCTAATCAACAGTCAATCCACGGCACCCAATAAACACAATGTCAAACTCACAGCTCGGAATATCCACGCCGGGTAATGTTTCCAAACCTGCACTCGAGCCCCAGGCGAGTACATGTCGGACATGGCTGCTTCCCAGAACACTTTACTTTGCGACGTCGACAATTTTCGCAACTGCGCGTGGTTTAAGCACTCATTTCATCCGTGGGGGGTTATTGCTTACGCGTGGGATGAGCGAGAATGATGCATCGAGGCATTAGGAGGCATATCTTGCGATTATGGCGGCTTTGCTCAGCCGGCGGATCAAGGTCAAATACAGTCACGGAGGGTCCAATGTAAAGAGGGGATCCTATCAACCATGGGATAGGCCAATATCCGTTCGGGAACCGTTGCCGACGGAAGATAAATAGTCCATTTTGCCGACCTGAGAATCCACTACCACTTGTCCAATGGCATCATTGTGGCTCTCACCATTCTTACTTCTTCGAGTCATGGTGCCAAAGTTTCAAGCTAGACATCGACAAGAACAGTTCAGCTTTCACTCAAAGCTTAGCTGCTTTGTCCATCAGTAGCTTCTCCCAAACATTGTCCACTGCTTTGCCAGCCTCTCACACTCTGGGTTTAAGCACTTGGTCCCCTCTTCAAGAGCACTAGGCTGCTCGAATGGAATGCACAGGCTCTTCATCCCCATTGACGGTGCACCCTGCTCCTCCTCGACCTTTGTAGTCAGCTCCTTAATGCGATCCTCGCATTTTCCATCCAGACAGAACGGGATCAGCACCAGATCCTTGTTATCCAAAGCCCCCATCACGTCGTCCCAGGCAGTCACAACTCGCCTGTGCTCTTTGAACGTAGCATCAGCCCGCCTGTACATACCCTTCTGTATCTCCTCCAGCATCTTGGGAACCGTAGTTGTAATCTCGGCGATGGGAATCGTTCCCTTTTCGTTGTTATACCTCTTCGTATAACTCACCACGCCCTTCTTCGCATCCTTGGGCCCGAATTCCAACCTCAGCGGAACACCCTTGAGTTCCCAATCGTTAAACTTCCGCGCAGGCGTGTACCCCTCCCTTGCATCAACATCGACTCGAAGACGGGCATCATTCCTCAGCGTCGCCCGTATCTCGTCCGCTTGGTCCAGCAGCCGGTTCTTCTCCTCGGCCGTCGTCTTCTTGCTAATCCCAACAGGAACAATGACAACCTGTATCTTAGCCACACGCGGAGGCAGCACCAAACCCTTGTCATCACCATGGATCATGACCATGACACCGATAACGCGAGTAGAAAATGCCCACGAGTTCTGCCACACGTGGACATGCCCCTCGCCCACTGGATCTTGAACAGCAATGTCAAACATTTTGCTGAAATTTTGGCCAAGACAATGCGAAGTTGCACCTTGTATTCCTCGTCCGTTCGATGGGATGTACCCCTCGAGAGTCATGGTATAGTAACCACCCGCAAACCGCTCGTTTTTAGTTTTGCGACCTCGGACAACAGGCACCGCAAGCAAATCTTCGTAGATTTTTGCGTATAGCTCCAAAATCTCGAGGACCTCTTTCCCGGCTTCTTCCTCTGTCAGGTGAGCCGTGTGGCCCTCTTGCCAGAGAAACTCTCTTGTCCGCAGAAACGGCGTGGTCTGTTTGGTTTCCCATCGAACAACAGAATTCCACTGGTTCAGTCTCAGGGGGAGATCTCGATGACTTCGGATCCACTTGCTGTAGTAGGGATACATGATCGCTTCGGACGTCGGTCGAATAGCCACAGGCACGTCGAGATTCTTATCGCCGCTGAGAACGAAGTTAGCACATGTTAATACTTCATCCTTGGACACTTACGCCTTGGTAACCCAAGCAAGTTCAGGAGCAAACCCTTCGATATGGTCTTATTCTTTCGCCAGCGACTTGGACGAAAGCAAGAGAGGAAAGCTCGCTTCCCCGATATCCATCTCGTCCAGATGTTTCTGGAACCACCTGCGCATCTCGCTTCAGATAAACATAGTCATGGGGCGAAGGACAAAGAGGCCAGCCACTTCTCCATAGTACTCGACCATTTCGGCCTTGACGACAACTTCTTGGTACCATTGTGGGAAGTTTTCGGTTTTGGAGACAGTAATGCCTATGAGTTCGTCTGATTTCTTATCGACGACCAAGGGTTGAGGAGCCTAGAAGAGTAGATTGGTATTGGGGTCAGTGTAGTCTAGGAGATGCCGCACACCATGATGGTTCAGTTGACGGTTGTTGCCAAACGATGATGGGGTAGGAGGAGATGAGAGGGGGAGATTCTGCACTTTCATAGCAGGTATTTGCAACGAGTCCCCTGAAAGCAAAGAGTCTCGGTGCGAGGTACCTAAGCCGATGTGGAGGGTCGAGGAGCCGACGGATGTCTACCCGTCGGCAACGTGCCGAGCAAGGTGAAAGCCACTGGTCTCAGGCCCCGTCCAGTCTGACTCGGTCATTATCTCGATGCTACGCCTTCTCCTATCCCAAGGATTAGAATATGTACCTCTTCCATAATCAAATAGCAGTCTCTAATCTCCCTAGCCGTCTTTTCGTGTCTCTCGCTCATCATCCAACTCTCCTGCCAGCATGAAAGACGAAGGGATTACTCTGGCTTTTCTAGGCTGTGGTAATTACCTCATATCTGCTAAGCCTTGACACTCCCTGACACATTACAGGAAACATGGGCCGAGCCCTCCTCATCGGTTTGCTAGACGCCCTTGACCAGCCAGACACCAGCGAGTCCACTCCCCTCATGGCCCGGTTCATTCTATGCACCAAACTGAAGCATCAGCTCAATCTCTTCATAAAGAGCTCCCTTCACCTTCTTTCCCAGTCGACATCTTCCATGCAAACAACAACGCCGCAGTGGAGCAAGCAGACGTCGTCATCCTGGGCTTCAAGCCATTCATGGCTACTGAAATTCTCCAAGCCCCAGGAATGCGACAAGCCCTTGAGGGCAAACTCATCATTAGCATGTTGGCCGGCATGCGCTGTCAGCAGATTGGAGACATTATAACTGCTGGGAACGGAGAGGCGCCGCCTATTGCTCGGGCGATCCCAAACATCGCTGCCCGTTACCGCCAGTCCATCACGATCCTGGAACAGACAGAGCCTCCTCTACCATCCAAGCACTCGACTATGGTAGAACGGATATTTGGTCTCGTCGGCAATATCAAGTGGCTTCCCGCAAATCTTGTCGACCTAGGCACCGTATTGACAACAGCCTGCCTAGCAACACTATCCATCCCACTAGATGATCTTTTGGACGGTTCTGTCGTCCAAGGTCTGCGACGCCAAGATGCAATGGAACTTGTTGTACATGGGATTGCTGGCCTTTCATCATTGCTGTCAAACGGTGCTCATCCCGCACTCATAAGAGAGAGCATACCTTCTCCCCGAGGATGTACCATCCAAACCTTGATGACTGTATAAAAGGCTGGGGCTCGGGCGACGTTTGCACAAGCATTGATCGATGGTGTACAGCATTTAGACAGTTTAAAGTCCAAGGAAGAGTCCAAATAATACACTACTTCTATATGAGTTAATAGCGAAGTCTTTCAGGTCATCTTATCTGAGACAACCATCTACTCTCAAGATCTTCCGTATCTCACAAGTTTAGGAGTCCCAAGTGTCTGCCCCAGTTCATCTGTCTCATAGTAGAGAAGACATTCCCAAGACGCAAATAATGCCACAGTACATGAAACGATCCAAGACGTGCATCTTCGAAATACAAACATGCTCTCCAAGCACATGTAACCTTTCATCTCCTACTGCATCTAACTGCATCGTGTTTCTTGCTCGGCTGGTAACCGGGCAGCACCTAACAGATAGTCCTCGGGTGATATCGGCCCCGGAGACGACACCACAAGTCCCTTTGGGTCGGCTTCTGATTCAGTGGGCAATGTTTCGGATCTTCACTGTTTCTGATCGTGCTGCAATGCCGTCGACTACAATGGATCAGGCCCCCCTTTGCCATAGTGGCCCTCTCTATGTACCCTTCCCAGAACGGGCTGCTGGTTACTTTGAACGAGTCATGGCCGGTCTGACAGCACTTGAATTCTTTTCCGAGTGTATCTTCATCAATCTTGACTCCAAGTAACCATGGACCTCGTCCACAGCTTTCATGTCCAGTTCTGCTCTCACCACTCTTCAAGGGGCTTTGTTCTCCCAGTATGTTTACTAGGTTTTTATGCATAGTACAACAAACGTAACGGGACTCCTACTCCTTCATTCTTGCATTCCATACCTGCACTCTCGGTCGTTGACTGTCCGCACAACATGTCGGTATTCAGGGCACTAGATACGCCTCAATACACGTCCCTTAACCATCTTGGACCAAATGAATTCGAAATTCCAGAAAAAGTCCCCGTAGCTTTCAATCACAATAGCCAATATAACCTCCAACGACCTAGCTAAACCCATTACTGCCCAGTCCATGCCCAATCCCTATGTAAACATCACATAACTAAAGAACAATTCCTCAATGTCTGATATCTCTTTTACGCGACGCAAGTCTAACACTTGTTTGCCTCAATATATACGCATATGTATGTATTCACACCGACGACAAGCAAGTCTATGGCTTGGCCCGAGGATCCTTGACGTCGGGTGTCCATTTCTACTTCAGATTTCACTTTATCTTCTCAGCTTCTTAGTATTAGACATAGACTCATATATAAAACATAATCGGGGTTCTATAAAAGTCAAAGATCTAGGCTTTTCCGGTATAAGATCCAAATGCCTCCAGTAGCTCGCAATATTCGGCTAAAATCACGACATGGGTGCTTCCGGGATGAGTCGACAAGTCGGTCTGAAATGACTCACATCCAGTCTCAACTCCAAAAACCCGCCGAGACACTCAAGGACGGGGCTGCATAGAGTTTCAGGATACTACAATTAGACAGCAGCGACCTATTAGGAGAAATGGCTTCCGCGTACAGCCAAGAGCAGCTCCAGCAGTTCTTCAACCATATTGGCTTGCCCCAAGCCCTACGTGAGAACCCAGAACCTTCCTTGCAGCTCTTTAAAGCCCTGCATGTTCATTCGCTATCAACATTTCCCTACGAGAACCTCTCCCTTCACTACAATGCCGCTCATCAAATCGACTTGGACCCGCAACATCTATTCCGGAAGATGGTAACCGACAACCGCGGCCGGGGAGGATTCTGCATGGAAATTGCAATTCTCTACAACCATATTCTTCGGGCCGTCGGCTTCGATGCGTATACGGCCGGGGTTCGGACACGGGGTAGGCTCGAGGGTGTCCCACAGGGAGACTATCCCGGCTGGTAAGTCAGCTCTGTCCAACAAGCTATTATCCTAATTAGTCATGAGGAACCATATCGTCAACATAGTTACCTTCCCTGACGGAAGCAAATGGCACTCCGATGTAGCTTTCGGTGGTGACGGTGCAACGATGCCCATGCCACTCATCGACGGTCTAGTCCACGAGAACCTAGGAACCCAGCAGATCCGCCTCATAAAAGACTGGATTCCTCATCAAGTACACCGAACAGAGGAAACAAAGCTTTGGATCTATCAATACCGAAACAGTGTCGACAAGGAATGGAACTCGTTCTACTCTTTTCCGGGTATCGAATTCTACGCACTGGACTGGGGTGTCGTCAACTGGTGGATCAACACTCACCCTGACAGTCATCAGAGACACAACGTCCTAACTATCAAGTTCCTTCGACGGCCGGTAGAGAGGGATGAGAAGTACAAGGGGGAGCAAGAGATATATGGAAAGAGGATGCTAGTCAACGGTGTGGTCAAGCAGAACCTCGGCGGCAAGACTGAAACCATCACCACATGCAATACTGAGGAACAGAGGATAGCAGTCCTCGCAAACTATTTCGCTATCTCGTTTACGGACGAAGAGAAAAGCGGCATCCATGGATACGTATCAGAACTCATCAGCACCACATAGAAGTCCAAGATACATCATCTCAAGTCTTCAAAAAGTCCCACAGCGCCCCCTCACCCTTTGTCTCAACCAGTAATCCATCCCCTCCAACATCCATACTCCAAAGCTCATTGTTGTGCCTCATCAGAAGCTCATAACCCCCTTGTGGATGCGGCCGGATTGTAAAGAACTCGTGCGGTCTGTGATGAGAGACCCGAGCGATAAACTGCTTCCTCTCATTATGCCCAATGTACGTTCCGGAGACGCAATTGCGGAAGCCGAGCCACCGGTCCTTTTCGACGCAGTGCCAGTGGAAGCCCCCGCGAGCGCTGAATCCCTCGCAGAGACGAAGCTCCCCGTCGATGAGGGTAATGACTTTTCCCGTTTCGCGGTGCCGAATGACAAAGACTGCGTCGGGGCTAGGGACGGACTCGACCGGTAGAGGATTGTCGATGCCCATCTCGGTGGCGGATGTGTGTGTCGGGGTAGGACACCCGTCGACCGTGGAAGCCATAGACATGGTGTCGATGAGGTCGTCGATTTCTTTGCTCATGATTGATCCCGAGGAAGTTGGAACCTGAGGAAGAACTTCCGTTTGTGTTAAGGAGACCTGAGGCCTTCGAATTATGTTGATGCCTGGTATGACAACGGCGCGTAAGCTCTCCTCAGTAGGCCTCCAACATAGTACAGGCAGTCAATATTTGCGAATGTCTGTAGTCATACAGGCAGATGCATACAATTTACCCCGCCTGGTCACATGTTCAGTAAAGATCGTCGTGCCGTGATATCGGTGCCTAACAAGCACCAAACAGCAAAGCACGTTGATGCAGCATAGCAAAAGGAAAAGGGAAAAAACTGTTAATTCATGGAATTGACTGGCAAAACATATCCTCAGCCTAACAGGAAGAATCCGCAATCGGCAAGCTGCTCGTGTGTCTGTAGGGTAGGCTCGGCCACCACCCATTTCAGCCATGATCGACACTCCACGAGTGATCGACAACACTTTGACGACCTCACGAACTGTACTAAGCCCTGCGGCTCCTGGGGTGCATGTTCGTTCACGTTGGTGCACTTTCGATCCCGCATGGGACCCACTTGCAGCTACGACGACGACCACAGAACGTCTCGAGTCCAGACCTGATGAGGCATCCTCCGAGGCACAGCTGGCTTCATAAGCTGACTCGACCACATCCTGTCGTGGAGCTATGTAACATGAGTCTAGACTTCTCAAAGCATTGAGACATCACCTGTAGAGCTAGTGAACGTCAGTATCGGAAACAGCAACCTACCCGACAACATCAAACACCAAGGGTGAGCAGCTTCAATGACCTGACCACACGCCAACATAAAGAATGCAGACCAGACCCCCAATGGCGCTCTAGATAAGGCACCCGTGGTGGTCAACACTAACAAGATGGCTTCATCGGCCTTCCTTCGCGTGACCGACAGACAAACAACCAACATTCACTCACTCTCATCGACCGTTCTCGCCCATCGTTCACCCTTCAGCCCCCAAATTGTTTCTGTTTCATCTTGGGCGAACACTCATTCCCTGCAAGCATGACCCCCGAGGGGCCCCCAGGAACAAATCCAATGTACCCAAAATAACCCACCTAGCGGCCCTTTTTTAAAAAAGAAAACCGTTGTGAATTCCCGATCCCGCCGTATCCGAGCGCCACTGTCCCATAAAAAAAAAGAAGCGCCATCTGGGGGCGTACGCCAGAAGGTCTAGACCGTCGTCTGAAAAGGTCCCGTCGTAAAGGTCGCAGAGAAGCCTCTAGACGGGCCTGGCCCTTCATCCTGCGCAGCGACGCGTTGGGTATCGTTGCCAAGGGTTGCTGACTTGCACACATGCGCTGCACTGTGGCTCAGGGCACGAGGACACGCAACCACGGGGTCTGGAACGCGGGAATCTCGGAGCGAGTGCGGTCTTGGTATTCCCGAGACTTTCCCACATGAACCGGTGAGCAACAGGGGGTCCAGCCCAGCAGCAACGCAACAGCAGCAACAGAAGAGTCACAGCCCGGGCGCTGCGGACTTGGCCATGCCGGGAGGGGAGTGGACGGTAGCAGAAGAGGCAGCGCCGAGTTCTGCAGAGCGCCACTGCATTGTCATTGGACCGCTGAGTACGGCAACCTGCGAGTTGCAACGGAGAAGAGCGCACAACAGCCCTCGAATTCGCGATATCGCGCAAGCTGGGGTCCGTTCGAGCTGATTATGCAGTTGTTCAGCAGTCCTCGTGGCCCGGTAAAGGCGGCCATCGTTGTTTAAACGCCCAGCCCGTCTTTTCCGACCGACGGGCGTGTCTGGATGCACCCTTCACTCATCAAGCCGAGTTCCAGGGCCAGACCAACAACTTTGGATCCGGACACCACGTCGACCCCAACAGTCTCTCGACAGCCCGTGCATTGTATTTGCTGTCCTTCTGTTGTGCCTTTATCCACTGAGAGGCGTGTGCCTCCACCGGAAAATCAATGAGCCAAGCCTCGCTTCCAATGCATCGGTGTGCCCGATACGATACGTAGCTGTCCCCAGAATACGGAGCATGATCTGATAGACCGGGTCTTCCACAGGGCGAAGCATCTGGGTACCGATGCAAAGGCGGGTAACGAGCCAGGGTCAATCCACCTGACACTTTGAGATTGTTGATTCCCGAGTACCCGACATGTTGGTATGCGGATGCGGAGGCGTCCGGCGACAACGATATGCATTCTCTCCATCGAAATGCAGCAGGCGGTTCGAGGCACGACGAATGGACCCTGCAGAACTAGCGGCTTCTTCCATAGGGTTCGAGACCCGAAAGCGAGATCGAGGCATTACATGCACAAATGTATCGGCCGAGTTGTTCACCCACATTGGTAGGTTGAGAAAGTTAGCTTCCCCGTTCATATCCCAAACAATGGCTATTTTCAAGTAGTGCAGTAACGTCTCATACAACCCTTGTTGGTTCATGTAAGGAGGATGCACCCGAGAACGAGCTGTGCTGCTAAGCTCTTCAACTGCCGTGAATAATTAGTTTGGCTTCAATAAAGACAAGACAATAAGCACAAGGGTCGGGCGGATCGTGGCTCGCTTGAGGCCAGAGCCGACTCACCGCTTGAGAAAACTCTTCCAGCCTCAAATACGTGGCGGTGATCGTCAGGTCGAGGCTTCAACAATTTGGACCCGACTGCCAGCAGGGCGTTCTGGAATAATGAGGCTGTTGGACGTTGCAGAGCACAGTCCTTTCCAAGGGCACTTTTGCGGGCCGACGATTGTTCTAGCTCGTATCAAATCCATTCAGGAACCGAGCCAAGCAAGCCTGGGCGAGAGCAGCTCTCGCATAGCGCACATCACCATGTTACCAATCTCCACGTCTGGTAAGCAGTAAGCCAACGTTACACATGTAGCAATGTGGCTTTGTCAGGGCCGAATAAACAATTGAACCCCCCGTGCCCGTGTTCTAGAACTGCGATAGCAGCCAGGGCGGGACGAGTCAGGGACCGTAAGGCAAACGCGGCGTGGACGTTGCCGAAGTTGGGCGTCGTAATCCCGGGCGAGGCTCAGATTTCGGGGCCCACCCCCGGCTTCAGGCGCCGGCCAAAGGTAAAATAGGGGACCTGCCAAGGGAGCGGTCGCTGGGGGTCTAGACTCTGTCAGTCAGCAGCGAGTAAATTGGCCCCGAGGACGCCTTGTTCTGCAGGAGCCTGACCAAAAGGACTCATCCAGCAGTTGGTCTGACAAAGCACCGAGGCAGTGGATGGTTCCGTCGCTTCCGCCGTAGCCTTTGCCAAAACGCCATGGTTCCACGGAAGCAGTGCCTCGGTATCGAGAAGATGAGAGGGGCCAGTCTTTCGAAAGACAGCTCAGGGGTTCACCGATCATTGCTCATCCCGTCCCGATCCCTTGACGGGATGATGAAGCTTCCATTTCCACGTCTAGGCACTTGACACGACGGCTTCTTCAGCGTGCCTGAAGAAATGTCATCGAAAACGCACGCTTGAGTGGGGACCGTGGGAATCGGGATGGTGAGACTGCTGGGGATGTGAAACGCAACGCGACGCGGAGTGGCAAAGTTTATGCTGGCCATCGCATCGACCTATTGGACCATCAAGTGCTGCGACTCGGGAGAGATAACGGACGGCCATCGAAGGTTTGGCAGGGGATCTCGGCCGATGGCGCTGATCTCGATCCGAATCCATCACTTGACAAAGGCCCCACGGAAATCATGTTGGAGATCGATCTGGATGAAGAATTCTGAGCGAAAAAGGGGAGAATCGCCAGCCCAAAGGAGATTTGATCAGTGATGGATATTTGATTGACGGTGAGGGGGTGTCTGAAGGGCACATGGAGACGGGAAATTGTGGGTGAGAATCCGACAGGGCGCCGTTTTGTGTCTTTGATGCATCCCTTTCAGCCCAGCAAACCCAATTGTTCCAGTTTAAAACGGTCCGCAAGGCAGAAAGACGGAGCAAAACCAACGGACGGGGGATCATCGACGATGGGGATCGAGATACGACGTATCCGTAGCGCGTCTTGTACCCAGCTAGACTGTCTCGATGCTGGGTCTCTGGGATGAGACGAAGATCAAACAAAGACGGGCCTGTCACATCGTCAATCGTTCATCGTTCATCAGTTTTTCTTTGATTGACGGGCCTGTCCCTGGAGAATGTCTCCCACGATCCCCACCGCTCATCCTGTTCATCGGTACCAAGCACCAAGTAGAGTGTTGAGCCACCCGCCGACACACCGGGTCTCACAAGCGCTCCCGCCAACCCAGACCAAGGGTACGGCGATCCTTTCTCACGCCAGCTGATCAAAGGGGTTTCCAACCTAACAAGGCGAAGGAAAGGAGAACTGGCACGTGGGTTGCGTAAGTAAGAGGATGCCAGCGACGTCAGCCTGATTACCCAGATTGGCTATGATGGGCGCTTCCTGGTGTCGAGATAAGATGGGATCTTGGCACCGGTGCAGCAGCCATGATATATGATTGCATCATTTGGTAGTAGACAGGAATCAGGGCAAGCGCGTGTGCCCGTGATGCGATGCGATGCGATGCGATGCCTGGGAGACGGACCGGGATGACGAAGCGCCGTTGCGATCGAACGTGATGGGCTGCAGACGGTCGACGGGCTTGGGTGCTGCCGGTGTAAGTCGGGATTGCTCCGGGCCATGCCATTGAGCCCGTGATGCCGTCCGTAGCCAAGCTGCTCCAGTCTGAATGGCGGGATGGGTGACGACTCCAAGACAAAAGTCCGTGGACCTCTCGGACAGTCTGGTCTTGGCACCACCGTTGCACCCAGAGCAGTCCAATCAAGGGCAGTGAAGCCATCACGGATCGAGATTAGCAGAATGTAACAGACCATATCATAAACTTTGGGGTCTGCCAGACTGTCAATGCTCAGCTCAGTAAAACCGGCTTCTGCATTCAGTAGCCAGCTAGCTCTTTGTTTGCGGAATGGCATCAGACGCAAGTATCTGGTCATTTTGGTGTTGTCATGCTTTGATGGAAGGTATTCGGAAAACGTCAGACGG